AAATGATTTTGGAAATTGTGTTGTTGGAATTCTCCACGAAACGGCTCTCATTTCCACTTTTCCTTTTTAACTGTGCTCATCACACATATTTAAAGCAGAGGTTAAGAACTGCCGCACTTTGATGTGCACACACCTATTTCGCTCAGTTTCCTGTACTCTTCCTTTCGAAAGGGAAGTTTTAAATGTAATGGCTACATTAGATTAGCTTGACTTTTGTACATTAGCCCAACTGGAAAGGGGAAGTTGCTAGAGAGGTCACGGTGACACCGACAGCCTGAGACAATGAAGCATGCAGTAAAGATTTTGTTGGAAATGGGGCTAAGGCTTTAGAAGGAGATTCTCTTTGGCAGGCATCTGACCCCCTTTGCTCAACAAAATGATTGTGTCAGACTCAGGTCAGACAGCATAGGATGATGGGAGGAAATTCTCTTAATTGCAAACTGGCAGTTCGGTGAAGAAATCATGACAGGTGTTATTTTAATAAATTGTGAAAAGTTAGACTTTCTGTCCTAGCAGGTAGATGGGAGTTAGGGATGTCTGTTTATGCATAAGTCTTTACCCAGCCAAGGATCATTTAAAAGTATCCTATACTAAAGGGATTACAGGGGATTATCACATCATGGAATTTTACCAGCTAATTTACTGCCTTTTTTATTTTTTCATATTTAGTTATCCTTCATATTCTTTATATATTCAGTGATTTTCTCCCTTCCCTCCTCCCTCCTTCACTTTCTGTCTCTCCCTACCCTGTCCTTCCCTTTCTCCCCTCCTTCCTTTCCCCCTTCTTTCTTTTTCGGCTGTTTGTCCTTTAATGTAGTTACCAGGCTTTAGTTCTGAGATTAGTATTTGAAAAAGAGTTTCTGTGCAAAGCCTGCCTTTTAGATGGTTCACCCTAAAATACACATGCTCACGTGCGTTTCTGTTACAAGATTTCTCATTCTTCTGTGGACAAGGCCACTGGGAGTTCAGACAAAATCTACCCAGCAACATGTATTTGTTTTGGTGGGTACATCTCATCTCCTGCTTTGGACAGCCCCCCCCACCCCCCCACCCCGTGCTTCTGTCCTTCGGATTGTAAGCTTAGTGTGTGCACATATGTAAGATTTCAAGTGCAAACGAGAACAGAGCAGGAAACAGATTTGCGCAGTTGCCTTCTGGGCCCTTGTGTGGGTGCCAAGGTAATGCTGCTGAGTGAAACAGGAGATGTTGCCTGGTTCTCAGGAAATGGGGTAGAAAAATCTAAACTTCGTGAGCAGATGAATTGGGTGGGCATTGCAGGCTATCCCATCCTGGCCTCATGATTGGCAGTGTTGTCAAAGCCTTCTTTATCTAGAAATAAAATTGCAGGACACACAGAGATACTTTTCAAAATGTCAGGAAACAAAGAGTGGGGTGATTTAGTTGAAAATGATGAAAATGTATCACACCTCAAGAAGTGCTCCCTGTAGGCATCTGTGTCTCGGGGTGAAAGGCAGGTTGAAGTGAATAGAGGAGCTTTACTTTGAGTGCAGAGAGTAGAGAGAGATGAAGGAGATGCCTGGACACAGTGTTTCTGGGTGGGGATGGGAGCCCCTTGGGCTCAGGGAGAAGTCAGTTCCTTGCTCTTTAGCTTTTAGGAGCTAATCAGAGCTATGTGTGCTTCTCCACAGAGCAAGGGCAACATGTGGGCTAGTCCTTAGGGACACACTCAGAAGCATTGCTCCTTCATTTCCTGTTTATTTAGCTAACATAGGTTGGGGGTTAAGTTTAGATTTTATATATTGCTGGCTTTTCTACTGCCCTCAAATGTCTAGCTATAACTTACTACTGGCTTCTAAAAATCTAACAACATTTATTGGCTATTTGTTTTGTTCTGAGAGAGGGAGGGGGAGGAATAAAAACGGGCCCCCTGCTATGCTCTGCAGCAGGGCCAGGACCCAGAAATTGGAATGGAAGATCAGTTCCAGTTTGGCAGGCTGCCTTCTGTCTTCATCATTATATTCTCTTCATTTGTCTCAGTGCTCAGTTCATAAGAAAGGCATGGTATTTTTCTAAGTAATAGTTAGCTGGGCCATGGTGGTGTACACCTTTAACTCAGAACTCAGGAGGCAGAGGCAGGCAGATCTCTGTGAGTTTGGGGCTACCCTGATCTACAGAGTGAGTTCCAGAACAGTCAGAGAGCTATACACTGAGACCCTGTCTTAGACCCTGGCTTCCCCCCTCCCCTCAAAAGTGGATGAGATAGGATAAATACAGCATCAGAAAGACTATGGAAAAGATACATGTAAGACATAATTCTGGGCCGAGAGAAAGAGTGCACTCTTTGCTTTTGAGGGGATAGGATAAAGATAAAGGAATTGGATCATAAAAGATGGTTTCCTGGAACTTCCAGAATGGTACCCAACCAGAAGGGTAATAAGCAGGGCAATGACAAGAAGTCCTGGATATCAGTTTGCTGCAGTTAATTCTGACAATTTGAAATTATAAGGATAATAGTTGGACTGTGGTAGTCTAGCATTGTATCCTGAAGTATTCCATCACTAGATGACAATCCTGAATCAATGCAGGATCTGGCTAGGGACTGGAGGGCTGTGGAAGATTTGGGGTAATGGGGTGTGTTTCCACCCTTTCAACTGCTTTCAGTTGCAGAATATCTATACCTTAAGTTGCATTGGGATTTAGAAGCTAATTAAGGAGGCATTTCTTGGTGAGCAGGAACAACACTTGATGCTTACATTGTACCCCAGTGGAAGCAATGCTTGGGTAACATACTCTTTGTACTTTAAAATGAAGTAAAGAAAGAAAAATGGATGCTATCAAAAATCAGCTTGGAGTCAGTGATGATTATGTTGTTGATTTGCCACTTAAATTCAGGGATGCATTTAAGGTCAGGGACAATTCTCTTGGAGAAAACAACAGGCAAGCAAAGTATAAATCTCAGCAGCCAGAAGGAGGAGGGAGTGGGAAAAAAGACAGTGCCTTTATAAGTTGGGTGTGGAGGTCAGAGCTGAAAAAGACATTGAAGGAAAAGAAGTCACTTTTTTTTTTGAGTTAAAAACTCAGAAAAACAAGCCCCCAGTGCAGCTGTCTGATCCACTGTGTAGTAACTGGGAAGTTCTGCCTGCTACAGTGCCTTCATCTAGGGTTTAAAGTAGTCTATCACTTAGCACTTTCCATGCTAAGGCGAAAGTGCTTGAGCCAATGAGTTCCCTTGTGACATGTCTATGGTGTCAGCAGATGGTTGGCTTTCTTGTGCTACCAAATGCATACCTGTGCCAGACAGGGAGTTCATTGATACATACTTAAATCACCAGAAAGGTATCCATCCATCCATCCATCTATCTATCTATCTATCTATCTATCTGTATCTAATTTTTGAGATAGTCTCTATGTAGCCCTGGCTGTCCTGGAACTCACTATGTAGACTAGGCTGGCCTCAAACTCACAGAGATCCACTTGCCTCTGCCTGCTGTGTGCTGAGATTAAAGATGTGCACCACCACACTCATCATTCTTGTCATCTCTTTATGCCAGAGAGAAAGCAACATATAGTGGGTTGTGTGTATCCATCCAGCCTTGCACAGCTTATTCTGGTTTTAAAGAACTTGCACTAATGAAAGCTGGCTTCTTAAACTTGATTCTTTTAAGTCACTTTAGGGTCTTGCTGAGTTGAAGCCAATACAATCTGCCTGATTTCCAGCTTCCTCCCTCACTGTTGCTGTTGTCGTTTTTTTCTTTAGTCTGTACATTTTTGATTCAGTAAATCCAATATACTATTTTAAGGGTAATAAATGACACAATATTGGATAAAGCCATTTTAAAACAATAAACATTTTGCACGTTGGGCGTTAATACCTATTCTTTCCTTATAGTACTTAGGAGGAGAGTTTTTTCCAGGCTGGTATTCTTCAGGCAGTTTTCAAATAAGACGTTTGTGGGGAGGGGCCGTAGGATCTTCAGTCATCGATTCTCTCTTTATAACTTTGCCCTTTTCCCGGGAACAGATGACTCGTGCAAGGCTCCCAGACTGAATCACAAGGAAGAAACTTTACATAAACCATTTATACTACATGTTTGGTATGCTGGCAGCATAAATCAACAACAATATCCATTACAGATTCATCCCTGTATCAGTATTATCTTGATAGAACTGATCCCGATGTGTGGGAATCTGAACTCTGATTCAATACATCTAGACCTGGATAATTAATTATTCAGGGCACAGAGAACCTGGCCCTGCAATGTAGAGTAATTCTTCCTGGTCAGCGTTAACTCCACTGGCAATAATAAATAGGAAAAGTCTCCAGTGATGCCAGTATTTTAAAGTGATTAATCATCTCTTCCCCCTTCTCCTCCCCCTTAGTTTTCTTTAACTAGGATTTTTCAGCAATAAATCTTTAGCAACACAGGTAGGAATTGTTCTGTAATTAAATTTTGCCCTGCTTAATTTCTTACCTTTTATGTGCTATTAAAAAATGTTACATTTTACGGAGCCCTGATCAAAATTCAAAGCAAGAGAAATCCTTTTATGGAATACTGAGATTCTCTATGGAAAAGAAAGTCTTGATTTTGAATATTAGATAGGCATGCACTCATAAAAATTGTTCATCAACACCAGTTGGGGTGTCAGATATTCCAAGGTTTTGAATTGCTTCGCTTCCATGTTTATGGCTTTTCTGTATTAGAAAAAGTCTGACACATACATATGTTCCCACATGGAGGGAATAATTACTATTTGAGAAATAAGTTAGAAACTTTCAGATAATTGATGTCAGCTCTGTAGGAAAGGATGCATCCCATCATTTTAATCTTACACAAAATGCACTTGCTGAAGAAGCAGGTAAATGTCACCCAAGGCAGACCACATATTTCCAGATGGTGCCCTGTAGAGCTGCCCAGCCATCATGTAGATTCCAGGTGACAGGGACAGATGTGACATATCTGTTGTGACACACTTCTATGCCACCAGTCTGTGGCTCGAGGTGACTCCTGTCCCTCCTCTTGTGCTTCTCTCTGCTGCAGGACAACACAACGACGCACGGATGAACCTCGCTATCGCCCTCACTGCTGCCAGGTATGGGGCTGCCACAGCCAATTACACGGAGGTGGTAAGCTTGCTCAAGAAGACAGACCCTGAAACCGGGAAACAGCTCGTGAGTGGTGCACGGTGCAAGGATGTCCTCACAGGTATGCCAGGCTCCACAAGGGAGGCATTTCTTAGCATTTTGCTGTGCTTGTATAATGACTGAATTAGGATTTTTATGTCACTTTTCTTTCAGTGAAGGCAGACTTCAGTCATATTAATTATATTCTTTATTGTCAACAATGCCTGGTTTAACATGAAAATTTTCCCTTGTGGGACTTGCCAATTTTTCCCTTTTGTGTTAAATAGTAACACTAATGATAAGGATAATAATAAATGCCCATAGAACTCTCACAGCTGTGAATGCATTTCATTTCCCTCACAGAAACATGCGATTAATAAAATTAAATCAATGTGCCAAGTCTTTGTGCATCACTTAGGTGGCACAGGCGGGGCATTTACACGTCCTTTGAGTCAATCACTTATAACTCAATAAGGCTTCCATTCTTGCCCCAATGCTATTACTGGGTAGGCACCTGCAAAATTGCATCACTTCTTGAGCAAAAGCAACACTTGTGAAATATATTGTTTTCATTGTAATGTAGTTAAACATTTGGATTTTTTTCTATTTGAAAAAAATGTAATTTAGTGTGTCTGAATTTCCGTGTGTATATGTGTGCGCGCACACTCATATGTACATGCCATAGATTGAATGTGGAGGTCAGAGGGCAAGTTTGGAGTCGATTTTATCCTTCAACTTTGTAGGTTCTCAGGATGGAACTGAGGTTGTCAGGCTTGGTGTCAGGTGTCTTAATCCACTGAAGTTGCCCACCATTTTCTTTCATTTCTCCTCTCACTCCCTTCCTTTCCTTTTCTTTCTCTTTGCTTTAGCATTTTAAGGACAAACGATTTACTCATCCTACTTCCTTTTAGTACTTAGATCAAAGAAACTTTATGTGGTTTTGTTTTCCAGTGCTGGGGCTTGAACCCCACTTTTCAAATACTAGTCAAGAGCTCTGCCACTGAGCTGTATCTCCACCTTCCACAATGAAAAGGTGGTTTGCTTTTTTCCCTTTTTAATGTGGACTTATTTGGGGTAAATTTACTGAGATGTGAGCCTTTTGTTTGGCTCCTTCAATAACTCTGGATGTTCGTGTCACTTAGTGTGGTGTGCACTCTACTTCACCATAGGTTAAGTTAATAGATGACTAATAATCCAGCACGGGCAAGCAGAGAACAAGCGGAGTTTGTAATTGATGCTGCTTTTCTTCACAGGGCAGGAGTTTGATGTGAGAGCCAAATGTGTTATCAATGCCACTGGGCCTTTCACAGACGCTGTGCGCAAAATGGATGATAACACCGCTCCTGCCATCTGCCAGCCCAGTGCGGGCGTCCACATTGTGATGCCTGGGTACTACAGGTAACAGCATTCAGTTTGACACCCATCACCCTTGAAGGAGGCTCACAACACTCTACAAGTTTTCTATTAGGATCTTTAAAAGTTTATTTGGCCACGCTGTGGTGACACATGCCTTTAATCCCAGAACTCTGGAGGCAGAGGCAGATCTGGTCTACAAAGTGAGTTCCAGGAGAGCTAGGACTGTTACACAGAGAAACCCTGTCTTGGGGGGGGGGGATTTTTTTTGAAGTGTTTGTTGTGGTTTATTTAAATTTTTTTCGTTGTGTGTATTTATGGGCTATGGTTCTGTTACTTGGGGGACACTTTCTCACAAGCATTCATTGTACATTGAGTATGTTCCTCCCACGTCCTCTGGCTTTCTCTTTCCCCCCCTCCCCATCCCACTAGTTCCCTTTCCCTTCTTCATTCATGGTGTATAAACATACACAGTTTTAGGGATCTTTATAAAATTCTAGAAGCACATGAGAAAAACCCATGGTATTTATGTTCCTGAGACTAGTGTTGCTGATGTGATGTGATTGCATCCAGTCACATTCATCTTCCCGTAAACACCAGGCTGTATCCTTCTTTAGGATGAAAGGAACCCCATTGTGTGTACACACCACTTTCCGTCTGCTGTTGGGAACCTATGTTGGTTCCTTAGCTATTGAGAATAGTGTGACAGTGACATTGATATGCAAGTGTCTGTCACATGTTGCCTTGAAGTCTTTTTAAATACCTAGGGATGGTATATATAGTTGGGTTATATGATATATCTGTTTCTATTTTTAGCTTTTTCTTCTTTTAATTTTTGCTCACAATCTCTATGCTGATTTCCACAGTGGCTAGACTAGTTTACACTCCTTCTAGCAGTGGGTAGGGATCCTCTTTTGTACATATACTTGCCAGCATTTATTGTTATTTGCTTTATTAATAACTGCAATTCTGACTGATGATTAGTGATAGGGAATTTTTTTCATATATTTATTGGCCATTTGTGTTTCATCTTTTGAGAAATTTCCATCTCATTGGCCCAATCAACTTATTGACTAGCTTGCTTGATGTATTTTTAAAACATTTTATTGCATTTGTGTGTGTGTGTGTGTGTGTGTGTGTGTGTGTGTGTGTGTGTGTGTGTGCGCGCGCGCGCGCGTGTGATGTGTGTGCACAAGTGTGGTCATGTGCAGGTTTGCATGCGTGCATGCCATAGCATGTGTGTGGAGGTCAGAGGACAATTTGTGTGAGTCATCAGGCTTGGTAGAGGCACTTTTACCAGTCCCTAGTTTGCTTATTTATACATTTTTTGAGGTCTTTGTATATTCTAGAAATGAGTATTTTGTCAGATGTATAACTAGCAAGAACTTTCTTCCATTCTGCAGACACTCTTCACTTAATTAGCTGTCTCCTTTGCTGTGTGGTTTTCAATTTCATGACATTCCATTTGCCATTTGTTGGCATTATTTACTGAGCAACTGGAGTCCTATTCAGAATGTCCTTGCCTGTGCCTATCTTGAAGTATTTTTCTTAATTTTCCTCCCATAGCTTCAGAGTTTCATGTCTTACATTGAAATCTTTGACCTATCTGAAGTTGGTTTGTATATGTGGATGTCCAGCTTTACCATTTGTGGAAGAGGCACAATGCATTTTTGGCATTTTTGTCAGAGATCACATGGCTGTATTTAAGTAGGCTTTTAATCTGTGTTCTCTATTCTCTATCTAGATTACTGTTATTAATTACCACTAATATACAAGATATCTCAGGGGCTTGAGAGATGGCTCAGAGGTTAAGAGCACTGGCTGCTCTTCCACAGGACCTGAGTTCAATTCCCAGCAATCATATGGTGGCTCACAACCCACCCGTAATGAGATTTGCCATCTTCTTCTGGCCTACAGGCAGACATACAGGCAGAACATTGTATACATAATAAATTTTTAAAAAGAATATATATAATATATGTATATATAATATATATTTTATCATGGGAAAAAGTCTGTAAGACTGCTAAGAGTACAGATCATCTAGTAACTAATAATTCTTCAGGAAATGTCTTCTATACAAAGTTGATTTTGACATTATTGAGAAAGATTAGAAAGTACTTGGGTTATACATTGGAGAAATAAATAAATTGTGCCTCACTTACACAAGAGAGTATTATATACCATTAAAACTATAACTTCAAATAACTTTAGTAGGCTAGAAAAACATTAGTGGTATGGTGTCACTTCAAAATACACACCTAGAGATTGTGCAGTAGGATCTAAGAAATACATGTATCTACAAATTTTCTGCATAAAGATCAGAAATATGTTGGCCATTAATCTCTAGATCTTAAGATTTTTGGACAAAAAGTGTTCCATGAAGGTTTTAAATATGTTGTGAAATAGACATGTAGGAAACATCATGTATTGTTTAAGCACCCATGATGAAAACACAGATACAGCTTTTATCTCTACTGCTGAGCTTTTTCTAAATCTTTCTCTGTTTTCTTTCCTCCTTGCCTCTCTGTCCTTTTTAAACAGAGTCTCACCTGTAGTCCAGGCTGGCTTCAAACTCTGGATCCCGCTGCCTCAGCTTCTGAGTGCTGGGATTGCAGGCTTTCCGTTTAGTGGCCCTCAGGGGACTTATGTTTTTTTTCACTGTTGTGTCACTCACCCTCAAGGCTCTTAGGCTAATTCTGACACTTAGTCTTTTGAAGCAAACCTTATTTTCTGAACCCTAGTTTCCCCATTTTTGGGAAAAGAATCACCATGCTCTTGTAGAGTGATCACATAAGGAGAGGAAGTCACTACATTGACGATGAACTTCCTGTGTTGGTTACTATTTTACCTTCCTCTCAGCATAGGCCTCTGATGAAGCTGCTGTGAACTTATGATTCTGTATTGCCATAGCACATAACTTGCTCAAAGTTTGGCAAGGATATGCTTTGAGACAGCATCTAATCTGTTGTCCAGAATGGCCTCAAATTCTTACATTCCTCTTGACTCAACCTCCTAAGAACTGGGATTACAGGCATCAGTTGCCACACTCAGTTTCCTCTGTTTTGTTAACTGCTATACCCTTATGTCTGGTTAGTGTAGAAACTTGGTGACTTTAGCAGCCATACCTTTTTTTTTGAGTGTAGGCTAGTAGATAAAGAGTTAAGCTTGTATGCCCTCTTTCTTTTTGGGTCAGTCGCAAAAGTATCTTTATAGAACAGTAAAATTTGATATAATCCTAACTAACATTCTGTGGGGAGCTGTCTTTGTGGGGCTGCTGTTGGAGCCAGCTGAGCAGCCCCAGGTTTGTACCTGAGAAGGGGATTGTGAACTAAAGAAAGGCTAGCTATAGATGGTAAAGGAAAGACAGAGACACAGAATAAAATCAGGAGGGTAGATTCAGTTAATACTGAATTGCCAGGAGTTTATTTTCACCACTCTTATATACCTTAACCAAAAAGGGGAACATGGTATCATGTATATGGAACAAACAGAGTTTTCTTCCTCTTTTTTCCAAGGATTGAGTAACCACACACCTCAGATTCAATTTCTCATTACCTGGTCTTGAGGGTCAAGAGTAACCACACCTCAGACCAGGTCTGTTGTTATTTAGAATAAGACAGCTAAGGCCAAGATCGAATATCCTACTGTAGCCATGCCTTTGACCTTTAGGTCTTATGACTTACTGAGAACAGTTTTAAACTCTGTGTCCTTGAGCCAAGATGGAGTGCAGCCATCTTATGGTTATCGACAACATTCCACATGTGGTTGCTATTATTTTTTAGAAATTTATTTTCTTTTGTCAGTATTGGTGTTGGCCTGCATTTATGTCTGCACCACATGCCTGCTTAGAGACTGTGGAGTAAAACAGAAGGTGTTGGATTCCCTGGTCTTGGAGTTACTGATGGGTTTGGGATGTCATGTGGGTACTAGGAATCAAACTTGGGTCCCCTTGAAGAGCAGTCAGTGGTTTTGTAAGACAACCCCCCTGCCCCCAAGCTAAGGCCTCCAGGATCTTAGCCCAGTCGAAAGCTTGATGCAAACTGCACGAGGCTTTATTGTAGTTGTTTAACGAGCTAACCCCATGTTAACTCGGGTCTTTCATTTACCCACCATGGCAGATGGCTGGGAAAGACAGCTCAAATTGTCTGCATAGAGATCTTATAGGGCAGTGTAAGGGGAGTGTCTAGGGGTACGCACAGGCTCAGGATTGGTGTGCCTCCAGGCTTGGAGGGTTTGCCCTGTGTTGATTGGTCAACTGGTTGTTATGGCCCATAGGCCCTCCCAGGGTGGTTGCTATGCTCTGCGGGTCATTGCTGTGTACTTGTCCGTAAAGCATACCCAGAGCCATAAAGCATAGCACCACCAGCTAACTTCTGATTGGTCCCTTGCCACGAGGCAGGAATCTGACTTCCTAGTGACCAAGGCAAGCTCAGGACAAGCACATGCTCGGCTGTTATAGCTGCCGAAATGGGGAGCTGGTCCCTTCAGTTTTAACCACTGGGTCATCTCCTCAGTGTTTTAGTTTTTATTTCAGTTATGTGTTTGTGTGTGTGTCTGTGTGGTGGTATTTATGCATGCAGGTGTCTGCAGAGGCCAAAGGGGTTAGAACCCCTGGAGCTACAGGTTGTGAGCCCCACAACAAAGCCTCTTGAATAGAGCTCTGGTTTTCTGGTCCAGTGCTAAGTGTTTCTAACCACTGAACAATCTCTCCAGCCCCAGAAGACTCATCCTAACTTCAGAAAGCCCAGTATACAGAAATCATTTTTGTAAATTTACTCTTAAAATCCAATCTAGAATTTTCCTTAGAATTGTGGTTTCTTCCAATTGACTACAGTCCGTGAATGTAATCACCTCTCCCTTCCAGCCTGCTTTTTACTACTGACAAGAGGTCAATTTTTTTTTCCTGTAATGTGTGTACATACTGTTAGCTCTAACACTGATTGCTAAGTGGTTAACAATAAATTGATTTCAGTTTAACTAAGGGTTCTTCAGGAAAGCAATGGTCTGCATGAGAAAAATGTTCATTACCTTTAATCCTAGACACACACATAAATTAGCGAGCTTCCCCTGCCGATGCCAAATGAATCATACAGACTGAAAAGAGCTGTGCGCCTCTCACGTTGTACTGACTGTCACCAGAGCTGACTCTTTAGGGTGACCTTGCAGAACTAATCCTTCATAAGAAAACAAACTTTTCCTCGAGGGAGACTATGAATTAGGCAATTTAGAACTGATGAAAGACAATTCCAAGTGGATTCTTAAATTTTTATACCGTTTGTTGGTAGTTCTGTCTTCCCCCTGTGCTTGTTAATTTTATGTTTGACACATATGTCTTCACTTAAGCAGCAGATTCTCTACAGGTTCCAGGTACGTGTCGCCTGGTAACTGTCACCTTCACCCTTTAAATGGCTTTTATTGCAGTGTAAGTTTCTGAGGGTCTCAGTAGTTGCACTTTTCTGACTATGCTTCCTACTTAGGTCACTCAGTATTAGAATCTTGTGCTTAGGTTATCAGCTGTATTACTTGAAACCTGTCATGAGTTTTCCAGTCTGTGAGATGGTTGTATATAAATTATGTCAACGTGAAATGTCTGAAGTTTCTTAAATGTTTTGTTCCAACAAAAAGCCATTTATCAAACCAAAGCTTGGAATTTGAAGTTAGTGTCCAACCTAAAGTGACTGGTGGTTTTAAAAATTCTAAGGGGGCATCGATTTGGAGCTCCCAAATTTTATAAGACATGAGATTGACTTGGTACTGTAGTTTCAAAGGCAAATAAGATTTAGTCCTTTTTAGAGATGGAAAAAATATTAGACACTGTTTGTCAGCATGTCAGAGTGAAATTCACTTCCCCTCTGGGACCCTGGATGGTGGTGGGAACCATAGAGAAAGGCTAGATTTTGAATGACAGTGCTCTTCTCTGAGCTCTTTGAATTTAGAACACAGAGCTATGCAGGGCTGGCAGCCTTGCAGAGAAAGTCTGGTCTTCCTTGTAGTTCACTTAAAGACTCTTCTTTATGTAATGAAGTTGACCAAAGATTTCTGTTTCATGTAAAATATTTTTGGTTTGCTTTTAAACAGTTGTTAGCCTCTTACCTCCTTACCCATTTGAATACATCTTTGAAGTGGTTTAAGAGTATAATAAACATAAGAAGTCTACTGCATGCTCTTAAAATATATTTGTGTAAGAGGGATTTCTTGAAAATTATTTAAACCAAATATGATTGTTTCCTGTCTAAGGAATTGCATTGCAGAACATACCTTTAACACCTTTAACAATATAGCTCTGTGAGAATTCAGTCAAATGTGACAGCTATGTAAAAATTTCTATTGCTTGATATGAATATGACACTTTTCCGGGTCCTTTTCACTTCTTTAACAGCATACATATTCTTGAAAGTATTCATTCAAACAATAGTTTTTAGCCAGTAATCCAAGGATTTTATTATTTTATTTTATTTTGAGGCAGGGTTTCTTTATGGCTTTGGAGGCTGTCCTGGAACTAGCTCTTGTAGACCAGGCTGGTCTTGAACTTACAGAGCTCCCCCTGCCTCTACCTCCTGAGTGCTGGGATTAAAGGCATGCACCACCACCGCCTGGCTGTTTTTTTCTTTTTTAAAAAATTTTTGTGGGGGGATATTTTGTCTGCTTGTCCTGCTTGTCTGTCTGTGCACTTTGAACATGCTGGTGCCCCAGGAGGCATTACATATGGTTATGAGTTGCCATATAGGTGCTGGGAATTTAACCCTGGTCATCTTGAAACAGGGGCTAGTTCTCTTAACTGCTGAGCCATCTCTCCAGCCCCATCTATGGGTTTTATTAATGCTTGTTTGCAGTTGCCCATTCTTTCAAGTGTATTTGTGATTTTGCTTTTAAATTATACAGTATGTGTTAGTGAAAGTTCTTGGCTAAGATTTAGAAATATTTTTTTGTGTCAGTGTAAGGAGCTTGTTTTTTACTTTATTATTGACATAATACTTTAGTTTGAAAGATTCTCATTGCTAACCTATTCCTCTCCATTTGGCCCTTCCAGTAACATTGCTATTTATCAAATAAGCAAAAACCAAACAAAAGACCAACCTCTTTTCTTCTTTGTGCACTTGCTGACACTCCTGTCACTTTTAAATAAGATAAGAAATCTCATACTTGTCAAAGTGGCACAAGCTCATTTAATCAAACAGAGGACTTCTTGATTCCATTTTAGTTTCTAGAAAGTTTGGCTTTACTTTCTTACATACTTCTCAGGTTTTCTGCTGTGGCTTATGCAAAATGTCAAATGTCCCAGGAAAATACTTTTCATAGACTCCAAGAAAGGTTGAAGAGTCATCGTTAATTGGCCATAATAAAAGAAATTATAGGCGTTTATTCCACTGACATTATCTAATGTGAATGGTCCAAAGTATAAAAACCAAAACAACTGAAAGACAATTAATTAACCTTGCATTGTTAAATGGGGAGGGTTGCAGGATAATATTACCACATTTTCTCAGTTCCTTATTTTTTTTAACATTTTAAAAAAAATTGTAGGAATTTCTATGGAGTAGGGTAGAATAACAAAATAGTAACTCATATCTTTCTTACTTTGCTTTTTGAACATTAATGCAAAATAGAAAAGAAATAAGTTTCTTTTTATTCCAGTCCTGAGAACATGGGACTTCTTGATCCTGCGACCAGTGATGGGAGAGTTATTTTCTTCTTGCCTTGGGAGAAGATGACTATTGCTGGCACTACTGATTCGCCAACAGACATCACATCTCATCCTATTCCTTCGGAAGAAGACATCAACTTCATCTTGAATGAAGTGCGGAACTACCTGAGTTGTGATGTTGAAGGTAACATAAACATTCCTGCAATGTTTCTTCCCTCTTTGCTAGCTACCAGACTTTTCCAGGCCTTTCTTGCCTTCAGCTCCAAACATCACCACACCTTGCATACTATAACACTTAACTTTATCTCCCTTCCCTCTCCTCTTGTCCCCTCTTCTCCCCTCCTCTCCTTCTCCATCAATCACTAATTAAGAAAATGCTCTACAGGCTTGCCTATAGCCCAGACTTATGGGAACATTTTCTCATTTGAGGTTCCCTTCTCTCAGATGACTCTAGCTTGTGTCAAGTTGATCTAAAACCAGCTAGCACACCTAGAGTACTATGCACCCCTCTTTCCATTTTATTTCTGGATATTACCTAGTTTTATACCTGTGCCTTCCCCTACTCCCATACAGAGTATCATTGTGTAGTCCAGGCATGCCTTGAACTCATAGCAATTCTCCTCTCCTAGTCTCGCTAATGGAATTCTGGGAGTTATGCTGTCATGCCTGGCTCCATTGTGTCATTTCATACTTAGACAGTTGGAAGTGACCTTTAATGGCCTCTTTTTTTTCTTTTGTATCTAAACTCTTCCTTTCCATGTATTCTGTGGTCTAATGGTTGTATTATTTATCCTTACCAAGTTAGGCCATATACATTCAAGCCCTTGTCCCTTTGTTTAGTGATGACTTTTCTTGAGCTATCCTTTCTACCATCAACCACGTATTGGTGTAAATATTTATACTTCAGAAGTCACCTGTATTTTGGGGCAGTGGTCATACTGCTGGCATATCATGATCCTATGTTCTAGCACTAGTCTAAGCTGTGTTCTTGGAACTCCCGATGGGAAGGGTTCTCATCTACAAAACTTGTTAGCTAATTGACATTTTACTACTCATGATTGTTTTGAGCAAAAGTAAGTTAATTAGCTATTGGTGGTTTCAGTGATATTATTTTATAATTTAATAAATAGTTCTCTTGATTGCAGGTATTATAGCAATGCTGGGTTTCCTGACTGGTTTGTAGTTTTCTGTAATGATCAGTAGTTGCTTGCATTAAATAGTTATCAAATCAAAAGGACCATGCTCTACATATCCACATTACCAGGACTATTGGGGGGCATACTTCCACCCCAGACCTTCCCTCCTTGTATCACAAGTGCCAACCTGACCAGGTTCACTTCTGTAGCTGTACCTGTGGTAATGACACCTCAAGGTATATATAGTGGGCTTGAGTGAGTCTTTTTCACACTTAGTTTTGGTAGGGAAAAGGTATCTTAGCTCAGTATGCACTCCACAGGCCACCTTGAAACATAAGCACATTGACCCACTAAATCTTTCATACTTAGTGGGTTTTCTGCTTTGTCAACAAATCAGATTTTAGCGACTGTCTTCCATGCTCAGTGTATGTGTATGTGTGTGTATCTTGTTTTATTCCTCTCCAGGACATGAGCAGAAGGACTTAGCACTTTCTTACCTTCTCTTTTTGCTTTTCATATGTTGAACCATGTTGGGAAGGGCACACTGCTTGTGGTAGAGCTCAGCTTTCTGAACTAAAGTTACTTTGGGATTTCTTTGTATCTTTCCATTTTTCTTTTCTTTCCATTTTTTCCCTCTCATGGTAATCTCAATGATCTCTATAGCATTCTTCATGTAGTTCAATGTTCCACTCTGTGGTAGTGAAAACCACATAGCCATTGGCTGCAGTCTCCAGGCTGCAAAGAAACTCTCAACATCTGGGGTCTCAGAGACCCACTCACTGATTTCCTGCACCTCAGACAGGAAGCTCAGAATTTGGTGGTGACATTACTTTTGCCATCTTTCTATGATTTGTAAAAAGAGTCTTCATCTATCTATATGAGCAGCCTTACAATGTCGGCTTCAGTGGAGGAAATACACACACTATTTTTGTCTGGATGCAGCTCACTAGCATTTACAAATCCTTCCCTTTAGGCCTGTTCCATTGTGTAATCATGTATTTTCCAACAATACAAAGAATGTTAGAGAATGGTTCAGATTACTGTCTTAGTTTAATTGATTTGTCTGTGTTGTATTTTATTAGTTCTAATTTAAAGTAATGGATGTAATTCTATTATGAATAGAATCTCTTTGGATATTTGCAACAATAGCATACACTTATTAAATAAATATAATTAGTTTTCACAACCAGTCTCTATGTTCAACACTTATTACCCGGAGACAGCCATGCTTTGTTTAATATGTTTATTTAAGTATTTTAAGTCTCCTTGTAATTTAAACTCGATGCTTGGCTTGTCCATTGTAGATCTAGATTGAGCTTACATGTCTGGCTATGAGTGTGTTTCACTATGATAATGATTCTCTCTCCTTTTCATATTTACCTGTTTATAAAGTTTGTCAAGAGTAGGGTTACAGATGGCTCTAAGACTGTGGGAATAAAGCATAGAATGAATTCAAGAGTGGAGATGAGTATGGACACTTTCTTAGGCCTTCTCATGTAAATGCAGTGAGGACAGTGCTGCCAGGCTGGATGTGCTAGAGACAGCTGTGGGTTCTGGAAAGCCACTGTGTCCAGGATGAATGTGAAAATTTGCTCCTGATAGGAGCTTTGGCATCTGAAGTTCACTGTATCAGAGGGTGAAGACTTTCATAGTTGTGGGCTTTCTCTAGGTATGTTGGTGGAATCCAGTAGCCTCCTATGTACTAATGAAATGTGAAAGAAGCAAGCGTTGTCACTCACCAGTCACTTTTTAAAATGTTCACCCCTTGGGACTGTCTTTCACATCTCCGCTGCCATTGAGTATTGTATGTGTTTAGACACACTGCTAGGCAAGCACACTGTCAGTCTTTTCCTCATTGCTTCTAAGCGATGTGATTCCTGCATTAGTTGAAGCTGAGAGTTGGTGTCTTCCCAACACCAAAATAGTTCTAATTAGTTCCCAAATTAGAACTAATAAAATACCCCCATAGCTTGGTAGTATTGGAGCATGATGAGTCTTAACTAAGTCTGGCTTTGATATGACCATCTAAATACTGTACAGTACTTTGGTTAGTGGTTCTGGATTTTATGCTGTGGTACTGGGACCAGTACTGAGTGGATTAAGTTTCTTTGTTCATTTGAAGGAAGCTGTCAGAAACCTTTAGGATGGTGTGTGTGTGTGTATGCACAAGTATGGAGGGCAAAGGACTACTTGGTTAAGTTCGCTCTCCCTGTCTCCTTTATGTGGGTTGTAGGGACCAAACACAGATTCCCTGGCTTACACAGCAATTGCCTGTATCCTCTGAGCAATGTTGGTAGCCAAGAACTGTAGTTTTAAAAATGTTTTGCATTAGTTGAAGTTGATTTAATCACATGAAAAGGTTTTATTAAATGGATAAGTAAGTTCTGATAACAGTTTCTGAGTCTCCTCAAATGGCTGTATCCTTAAGGGAGAGAGGGAGAAGTGTCAAATCCTAACACTCCGTGCTGCTCACAGCAGCTGCTGCGCTTCTGCAGGATTCCTGGGAACAGTTCTGCAGAGCATTTCGCCTATGGGGAATAAGCCCATGTCTTCTTTTACAATTTAGGAAGCTTTCCATTCACAGACTGAGATTTCTAGATTACTTGTTTGTTCTTTGTTGAAATGGGTAATTGATAGTTCTACAGTTCGTGTTGCGTTAGGAAGAAAAATGATCTTTTGAAAAATGTATCATTAAGTTACTGTGCAGAGGTTAATCAGAGGGATGCTGTAGTGGGGACTGAGCTACAACTTCAGTGGACTTCGAGAGACAGAAGACTCGTTGGGTGCTTCATCCAGGCGCACAGTGTTCAGGGGGCTTCTGCAGGCAGTCTCTGCACTTGCACATGTGCAATTAGTAGTGTTTATAGATTGCCTGTTATTCAATTAACAGCCGAGCTGGCCATATCAACTCACTGCAGACCTGCCTTTTCCCTGCCAGAGATTGTACTCGGGTTATCAACTTACACAGGCTTGGCTGTCTTCCAGCTGTTTAATTAGAGTGTCACGCGCCTTGCTTTTTCTAGTTTCATTAGTTTATAAATGTAATATGGTATCTTATTTCTGTGATTAACACTTCATTCTGGCAGGTTAAACACGGTGGTAGAGAAGTATTGATTTCTGACACTGTTTCCCTGTATTCATTTAGATATTTTCACATGGTTCTTTCCGATTTTTTTTTTTTTTTTTGAAAGTGGCAAGCGTGAGAAAAAATACCCTGAAATGCACACCTAAGTAACTAATGCCACACAGAATCGCATGTTTAGGCTTAATTGTCACTTCTTGTGGCCTTCATTTTCTATTAGTTTTAAAACAAACACTTGTCTTGCCCAGGATGTGAGAGGAAAATAATTAATTATAATCTGAAACAATCATTTTGAGTTGTTTTTTCAAAGAACTGTGATTAATAAGTTCTGTTCACCTTTACTATTTCTATTTTATTCTTTAGATCATAGAGTAAACTGAACCAAGTGATTTATTGAAGACATACTAGAAATGAATTTGCTAAGGTTTCACTATGTAGCACTGGCTGTCCTGGAACTTATATATAGACCAGGCTGATTTCCAATTCAGAGACCTGCCTGCTTCTTTCTCCTGAGTTTTGGCTTTAAAAGTGTACACCACTTCTCCTAGTTATTTATTCATTATATATCTTTTAGCCAGGGTCTCATTTTGTAGCCCAGGCTAGCCTTGAACTCAAAAGTCATTTTGTCTCAGCCTCCCAAGTACAGGGATTCTATACTTGAGGCATCACTCTGGGCTGGTCAGAACCATTCAGTATTCCGGCAAATATTTATAACCGTACATGGCCTTTCACTTGGCACAATATTTAGAATATTGAGAGATCTTAGAATTTCCACTGCTAAAGACAAGTAATGTGACAAGAAAGAGACAAAAGAGTTAATGGAGTCTTGCTTAGTGGTGTGAGTGGCATAAGGCTCAGTCCCAAGATACAAAAGCACCAAATTGCTTTTTGCCCACAGATTTTCCTGTGAACACTAGTTTTGGTCACTACCTACTCTAGGCTACAAATGTGTATAATAGTACCAGTTTCAGAATTATAATTTGAGAGAAAGTGTCTTATTTAGGGTTTCTATTGCTGTAAAGAGACACTACAGTATTTATCTGTATAGCTCTGGCTATTCTGGAACTCTCTCTATAGACCAGGCTGGCGTGAAATTCATAGACTCACCTGCCTCTTCCTCCCAAGGGCTGGGATTAAAGGCTTGAGCCACCACTGCTCTGCTCAAAGGAAAACATTTAATTGGGGCTTGCTTCTGGTGGGTGGCATGCAGACAGGCAGACATGGCATTGGAGAAGGAACTGAGAATTGTACATCTTGACCCACTGGGAGCAGAAGCAACTGTGTGTCACACCGACCATAGCTTGAGCAAAGTCACACCTCCTAATAGTGCCACTTCCTTCGGGGACCCTTTTCTCCAAACCACCATAGAGTTTTCATTTCTTTAATCTCGTGAGGTTAGTAAGAAACAGGTAATTGTTTGGAATGAAAATAAGGATCATGAAGGCTAGTAGCATTAGGTATGAAAGTGCATTAGTCATGGAGCTTCAAGATTTTAAACCAGATTCCTTATCAGTGTGGCTACTAAGGGAATTTCACAGACATGGGAGGGACTGTACACTGACCACAGTGTCAATGGAGGGAGGGGATGTGCACTGACCACAGACAGTGGCATTGGAGGTGGGTTGGTTGTTTTATTTTGACTCTGAGGGCTGTGTAAATTCTATTGGAAATTATAGTAATTTCCTCTTAGGTACTTTATAAAGATTAAAGCACTTCATACCATTTATGTTGAAAAATTTTAAGACTTATGGAACTCTGTGAAGATGGGTTACTTCTATGCCACAGAAATCTCAGGATCATATCTATTCAAGAAAATACATGGCTCCCAGAGGCTGAAGTGATAATCAGAGGGCTGCATGGATGACCTATCCCATCTGCATATGGTCATAAAGCTTGGTGTTCTTGTGGGACTCCTAACAGTGGGAGCAGGGGCAGTTTCTGACCTTCCCCGCCGCCCCCCCAGCTTTGGGGACCATTTTCCTCCTACTAGGTTGCCTTGTTCAGCCTTAATGTGAGGGTTTGTGCCTAATTTTATTGTAACTTGTTAGGTCATGTGTGGTTGATATCCCTGGGAGGCCTGCTCTTTTGTGAAGGGAAACAGAGGAGTGGATTTGGGGAGAGGAGAGGTGAGAAGGGAGGGGAAACTGTAGTAGGAATGCAATATATGAGAGAAAATAATTAAATTTAAAAAAAAAGTAGGACTCTGGGGCCAGAGAACTAGCATAAGGTCTCACGTGACCTGTTGTGAATCGGACTGAAACTATAGGCTTCCTCAGTAGCTCATTGTGTCCTTGCTTCCTTGTTGCAGTATAACTGTTAGATGTACATCCCCTCTTTCAGATTATAGTAATTTGAAGACTAGCCCTCAATCAACTACAGTGAAATATGGTAGGTTTACTTAAGTTGAATTAATCTTTACCAGAAAGCTAATTTGCATTTGAAACAGGATCAGCATAGCTTCTGTTGGCCCGAAAGTTAATATATAGTTTAGGCTGGCCTCTAACTTGTGGTAATCCTCTTGCCTCAGCTTTCTGAATAAGGATTACAGGTGTTCTTGCCCTGATGGCAGTCACCACTGACCTGTATCCCTCACCCACCGTTAGATCAAGAATAAATGCTTTCCAGCAGTTATCTGGATTCTTCGTATCAGTAATCATATTTTTCCAGAGATAAGAAAGAATAATTTTATAGCATCTTGAGTATTGAGAGAGCTTTCATACCTTACAAGTATTACATAGCTACTGGGAGGATCCAATATGCCCATTTCTGGGTCAGTTACAGAGGTTAGGGTTGAGAAAAGAAGAGAGCATAGAAATTGTCAGCAGTTGAGGGACACCTCAGTTTGAGGGATAAAGCTAGAAAGAACCAAGTTTGATGCTGGAACATCATAAAAGGATGTTTGTCTGGGATGAGCTAGTTACTGGTGATAGTTGGTTAAGGACAATGATCCCCTGTGCTTTGGGGGATCTGTAAGGTGAAACTAGCGGACTAGGACTAGCAACTGTCTTCCACAGAGTTGGACCTGCTACAGCTGTTCATGGGTGTTGGAGGGAGAACACATCGGGCTACAGGGTTTCATAATGAAGATCTTGGTAATTCCTGAAGAGAGAGCCAGGTTTCTTCTAGAAGGAAATGTAGCATTTTATGAATGTCTTATTTTCTATTGATTGTAATCTTTTTTTTTCCCCATTGGTGTTGGTGACACTGGCTTCTGTGGCTTATTCTTTGCCACCTTTCTTTGTGATCTTCAGGTCCTTTGCTCCCTCAAGCAAATTATCTTTCTGTCACAGAATTCCTACCCTCATAGTTAGTTGTTACATTCTCTGATCTCACCTGTGGCTCTAAACTCCTGCTGAGCACTTTCCTATGCATTCATACCTTTGTTAAAATATTTTTTGATTCCTACCAGTGAGAAGAGGGGATGTCCTGGCAGCATGGAGTGGTATTCGTCCCCTTGTTACCGATCCCAAGTCTGCAGACACTCAGTCTATCTCCCGAAATCATGTTGTTGATGTCAGTGAGAGTGGCCTCATCACAATAGCAGGTATGGGGGCGGGGAGCTCATTCATTGAATTGTCCCCTTTCACTCTAATGAACAAGTATTTTGTTTTTATGATTCCTGGTAGAACCTCTGTTGCCAAATCTCCTGCCAAGAGGTGACTATTGTTATTATTGGTAAATGGCTAATTATAAGGAAAATTCAAATTGCTAACCTAATAGCTTAACAATTTCTTTGTAGGTGGGAAGTGGACGACATATCGCTCCATGGCAGAAGATGCTGTGGATGCAGCTGTCAAGGTCCACAACTTGAAAGCAGGACCGAGTAGGACAGTGGGGCTGTTCCTTCAAGGAGGCAAAGATTGGAGCCCCACACTCTACATCAGGCTTGTCCAGGACTACGGGCTTGAGAGTGAGGTTCGTGTGCATTGCTACACTACCTTGCTTTGATGTTGTCTGAGATCACATTCAGCAGCCATGGTTTGGCCTCTCTGATTTAGAGTGACCTTTTGCCATGCTTAAGGAAAAGATGATCCAACTTTATTATTATAGTTGCCTAAAAAGCAACACACATTTGGTTTCTCTTGGAATTTTGCAATTTATTTGGTTTGTTTTTACCATACACATTTCCCCAATTTCTTTGCATTGTGAGTGTAAGAAGGGCTGTTCTTCAGAAGGGCCAAAGTAAAGCTGAAGCTTCATCAGTCACTGATCTGGTGCTGTAGGCGGGCTGAGTCAGCGCTGGCCTAAGCATTCCAAGCTTTCCTCCCACCGGACCCAGTACTCCCTGAGGACTATTAGTTTCAGGCTGTGAGAAAACTGACAGCATAAGAATGTAGTGCGGTTTTGTTTCACACCTTAAAGGAATGACACCCAGAATACCTGTCTAATGCAGTTTTATTTCTGTAGGTGGCACAGCATCTTGCCACCACCTATGGTGACAAGGCTTTCGAGGTAGCCAAAATGGCAAGTGTGACTGGAAAACGGTGGCCTATTGTTGGAGTGCGTCTTGTGTCAGAATTTCCATACATCGAAGCAGAGGTATGTGGTGGTCACAGGGACTTCCTATGTGCCCATGGTTTGCCATTCGTCTGTTCGTTCTACTTTTAACATTATATACTGCTAAGTTTTAAAGCACACAGGACTGGAGTCAAATTTCCGGCTGTCACAGATGTTTAATAATGATGTTGACAGTGATAATAGTATGAGTGTGAATTCCAGAGTTTGTTCAGAGAACCACAAGTCTGTAAATTTGGTTGCGTGTCCCAGAATTTGTAGCTTTGTTGTATTCATATTCCTTCCATCTTGACTGGTTCCTTGTTCTCCTTCTTTGATAATTTCTCAGAAATTTTTCTTATTTCTCAGCTTGCTTTCTGATACCATGAAACCAGAGACCATGCTTTGTATGTTTGGAATTGATTGTGCCTTAAATCATAGTGTCCAGTAAGCTCCACTTGTTGGTCTCTAAGGCAGAAAACTTACAGCTTAAGGTGTTGAAGCTGACTTTTCTGTCCTCATCCTTTGCATATTCAGTCATGCAAATGAATGCTTCCATTATGCATTAGCAAAGAGAAGTGATTCCTGTGGATAGTGAGAGGTGATGCTGCTTGCATGTCTGTGCTTCATGCTATTTAGGAAGCAGGCGTTCACTCTTAACCAACTCTATTTTTCAGCCCACTGTGGTAGGCAGAGGGAGGGCCTGTGCTGCACCACAAGGGTGCCTGTGTCTGATGGAGAAGCAGAGCAGCTGGAGAAAAAGATCAGCTTTTCTCCAAGCAGTTTTTAAAATGTAAAACCTTATTATTTTAAAGGAAAGAGTCAAACTAGCAATTTTTCTTTAATTTAGGTGAAATATGGAATTAAGGAATATGCCTGCACTGCAGTTGACATGATTTCACGTCGCACCCGCCTGGCCTTTCTCAATGTCCAGGCTGCAGAGGAAGCCCTGCCCAGGATTGTTGAATTAATGGGTAGAGAATTGAACTGGAGTGATATTAAGAAACAGGTATTGTATAAAAGCCTTTACAACCACAGTTCTGTTTATAAACCTGTAACAACTTGGTCTGTTTGTGAAGGCATACATAACTTTTGGTGATAGTTTTAAGTTTCCTGCTCACTGTTAGGTCTTAAGAAAATGGAAAAATAGTCTTTGATAATTTCACTGTTACAGAACTAGAGAATGCTTTTTAATCCCTGGTCATAATTCCTGGGAAAGAGAGATACAAACAGTGGTTGGGTACAGCCCTTTCTTGGTCTCATTGAAGACACTCTTAGAACATGATGAGTGGAGTTTCTGTTCTTGGTAATCCTTTGATTAAAAATAGTGGTTTCTCGGCCTGACCAAGGCCTTATTATTTGATGTATCACTTAATATTTTAAAAGAGGAGAGACCTTTACAATATGAAGAAAAACTAAAGTATCATTTGATGCCTTATGTTAATTACCAAGTTAAAAAATAATTCCAGTGATGCTTGGGACATGCATGAGGGCATAAAAATATACACGAACATATATATAACTCCCCTCACATAACTCCCCTCACACATACACCTGGACTTGTGGTGATACACAGAAAACCATCATCATCTTCCTTCTTCTCTACCTCCTCCTCCTTCTAATTAGGGCACTCTATTTTTATGTGCAGAGGGATACACATTATTTTCAAACACTGAAAAAGTATCTTTTTTATTTACTGGGTCCTATTCTTTCTTTAACTAAATCTATGAAGCTTTTTGTGACATGTCCCTGATTAATCCTGGACAAACTCACCAAGGATGTCCATGCTGCATGACACAATATATGTGCCAGCTCTCAGTGCTCACTGTATTTGGCCAGGTGGTTACTTGCATTTGGCACAGTTGATTCAACTCTCCCTCTTGAATTGTTTGTTGGGAGAGTGTTTGCAATGTGGTCTAGGCTGGCTTTGAGGTTTCCATCCTGCTTTTACCTCTGAGGTATTGGGATAGTAGGTGTATCCATATGCCTGGCTTGAACTACTTTTCTATACTTAGGAGGAATAGTTCTTTTGATTCACTTTATAGCTCCTTCAAGTACTGTCCCTAGAGCCTTCTCCACACTATAACAGCTCATTGTCCTTCAGTTGCTCAGGTCTCAATTTTAGCATAATACTTTGTATATTTACTCATATCCCATTTATAGCCACTCAGACAATCTTACCACGATCATCTTCAGCTCATGGTTGGGTCTCACCCTTTCTTATAGAATTCATTATATGTCACCTTGATGTAGGCTGCTGCTGGTGTGTCTCATGATGGTTGTACAGGCTTCTCTCTAAGTAAGCCAGTGTTTCCATCTCAACAACTTTGGGGACATTATGAGAATATAACTGAGACTTACCATTGGATATGTCCAAATGTCTTAGCTGAATGTACATTTTTAAATTGGCTTTTGAAATATTATGATGTATTAGATACGATCATGAACTAAGGACTTAATGCTGGTAGTTGAGGGAAGTGGCTCTGAGATTAGCCTAGGAACACTCCAAAGTATAGAAACTGGAGCAATAAGGAAGGATACAGGGCAGATAGAAAGGAACAGCTGCTAATGTTGGGAGAGTTGCAAGAGGACTAAGGGAGCTGTGACTCAGTATGTTAGGACTTCTGTGACAGAAATACTGCCAGTGGAGGCTTCAAATAGCAAACATTTATTTCTCAAATTCACTTCTTCACTTTCTAACATGTAGTCCAAGGTCAAGGCACTTCAGGTCTAACCACTTTATATGGTTCCTAGTCAGAAGGCTCCTTGGCATATTCACGTGTGTATCGAATGAGCATTATTGAGCCTCTTGCCATGTGCTGACTGTGCAGACAAGATTGGGCATGTAGTCTAACCTTGAAGTGTTCATAGGATGATGTAGATTCCTAAAGGTGGGATTCCTGGGAAATGTGGCTGAAAGAGTAGGTTTAGAAGCTTGACTTTATTACATTCTTCAAAAGCACAGTGGCTCCATGTCTTTAAAATTTTGCTGTAGTGACTCTACAGCAAATGTCATGTTCAGATGTCATGTTCTGAAGTGAATCGATAGTAAAAATCTCAGGTTGGTGCCTCCATGTCCTCATTGTGTCTATGTGAAGTGTAGCCCTCCTTGTCTTTGGACTGCTGATGCAGTCTTCATTGGATAGCCCAGGCTGGCCTGGAACTCATGATTCTACTGCCTCAGTCTCTAGAAGCTGGGATTACAGGCATGTACTGTCATGTCCAGCTGCAAAGGGGTGGCCTTCACCCTGATTTTACAGTTGAGGAGGCAGAGCCAGTTTCCATAAGCAGTGAATTGTAGAGGTGGGTTCAAAGCCTGTCCCCCACCCCCTCTCACTGCCTCTGTACTGGCTTATAACTCTTCCAGTTTTTGAATCTTAGCTCTTCATAGGGACAACAGAAAAATGGCACTGCTTATTGTTTTTTTGTTGTTGTTGTTGTTTGTTTTTGTTTTTTTGGTTTGTTTGTTTGTTTTGTTTTTTTCTGTGTAGAACGATCAGGGATATGTTCTTAAAAAATTACATTTGGAATGTTTAGATAGCATATTTTGTGCTAGGAGGTAGGAAAGAGAAAATTCTAAAAACCAGTTGTGCTTAACATTTCCAGGTAAACAGAGATTTGACTTTATTCCAAACTTTATGAGTAGACAGACACTCTTAGGAACACTCCTAATCCCTTTAAGTAACAAAAGCTAAACAACTAAAGATGTTCTGTTTCTGAGGCACAGGGACTTAATGAGAATAGTGGATAGTCTGGAGAGCACAGAAGAGACGGAAAAAAAGAATTAAAAGGTTAGAAAGTTGTACTTCTGAGAAAAGGTTAAAAGCATTGGGATTATTTAACCTGCAAAAGTGAAAGAGGAACAGGGTGATAAATAACTCTGCATAGATGAATTGTGTTGTTTCTACGGTCAATACCTAATGAGTGACCCGTATACTGAATGTGATGCCAAATAGTTTAGGGGAATAATAAATAGCTCATAGTTTCAAGGACCTTGAACTCTAACTAGGTGGATACAACACATGTGTGTGTGTGTGTGTGTGTGTGTGTGTCAGAAATGCATGTACATTTTCAAAGCTTAACAGACGTCGTTCTTTGAGACTGAAAGTCAACTAACATGGAAGAATAGAATAGACAGGACAGCACTGTCTGTTGAATTTGAGGAGTGATGGAGGAACAGGAAAGGACATGAAGGGAAGTGCCATTGCCAAACTGTGTACTCCTGGGTGTGAATTAATTAATGTGTGTGAGAAGATGACTATATGGTCAAGCAGGGGAGAGTTTGCATTAAATAATTAAAAGAAATTTTAGTTCAGATGATTTGGAACTTTTGAAATGCTATGTGTTTTGTCAGTTCCAACAGAGAAACATCCTTGGAGATCTCAGACTAAACTTGCGTTTGGAGAGGGCTGAGCAGGAAAAGGCATAGGCCTCACTCAGAACATATTTAGGGAAATGCTGCCTGGAGAGAAAGGCAGATATTGTGATTTTCATGTATTTTTATTTCCATTGTGAGAATTCAAGTTTCAAATTTAAAACAGACAGAAGACATAGTCAAATAGGAGGTGACTCTCCGTAAATTTTATTCCAGTCTGGGAATGCAATGCCAATTTCAAAAAGCAGAAAACCAAATATGTCTTCGTGATCTAGGAAGGGTCTTCATATTGATCATGACTGATTTTTCTAAATGTTCGTTAATTTTATTATGTTCATTAAGTTTATTATTGCTTAGCAGGAAGTGTGGGCTATGGGAGGCTAACAAGGGGTCACTGAGGAAAAAATGTTATTTTCATGTTAGAGTAAGGAATATTAGATCAGGAAAATGCTATAGAAGCGATAAATAAGCATTCAGTAAAGTAGCTCATACATGAATCTTTGTGAAACTAGTAGTTTTGTAACTCACTCAACCAGTTTTGACCTGAAGAGGTCAGTGATAGCATATTGTGAGCACTCTGTCCCTGCGACCTAGTCTCTGGTTCTAGCATTTACATTCCAGTGGTGATGCTATCTATGCTTTAGTGTGCCAATAAGCAGAGGACTGAGGGACTATTTGATGACAAAATGAAACAATTACCAAAAGTGTACTAGGAATGTTTCTGTAGAAATAAATGGTAAACCTTGTACTAGGTTAGGCTAACTTTATTCAAACTAAGTTTCACGGAGTTCAGCAGTCTAGCACACGTGAGAAAAAAAAAAAAAAGAGTGGCTTTAGTTGACTGTGACTGCCAGTACACTATGAATTTCCCCTACTCTAATGTATTTTTTAGTTGTGTTAATGTAGGTCATGTAGCTAGAGAGATGGAATAGATTGCTGTTCCTATCTGGGTACTTGCCACATCTCTGGAGAAACATGTTTTGTTCTGACAGTTGGGTTATATGGCAGAATTTGTGGTCTGGAAGAAAACATCCAGCATGGCATAGGCCTTTGGAGTCATGCTTCTGCTGAAGCTCTTGGCTAACAAATCTCTGAGGAATAAGGTTGATTCTGCTTTCAGTATATAACCTTTGATACAGAAACATATTAAGTTGGTTGGCTCTAGTGTAGCAAAGTCTTGGTCATCCCAAGCAAGTTGGAAGAGTTGAAAGGAGGTATATTGAATCTCAACATAAAATGTTTAGTAGGCACACTGTCTTTTCATGTGCCACTTTTAGTAAAATCATATCCCAAGTTGTAGTGTGATTTAGACAGCCATCTTGGCTTCTGTTCATGCAATCTATAATGGAAACACGAAGTTAGGGAGCTACATTGTGACCTGGATGGAAAGATTTCATTGTTCTTTGATTATAATCAAGTATCATGATTATTCGGCCAAGTGTGGATAAACTTCACTAGTAATGAAAGAATATACATTGAGTTAGAGATTGTCATTGGAGGGAAGGCTCAGAGGCAGCATGTCCAAGGACATGAATTTTAGAATAGTTTATATCAAGTGGCTGGAAATGATTGATCAAACCAGAAATTCCATTTTAAAACTATGACTGGTGAATTTTCTTATGTGAAGAGAGAAGTCTGCCAATTTAGAATGCCATTGGAGACAGAGATTTCGTGTTTTATTTAACCATGCAGATGTTGATGTTGATACATTTTTAGTTTTTAAATTTAGCATTATGCAGCATTCATGATGTTTTATTTCTTTTGTTGCATCTATTTCTGAAGAGAAAAGGGGTAGAAAGGAATAATCTCAGAAACAGTTTGTCTTCCTAAGAAAACAGAGCACCAAGCCTTGTTGCTGCTGTTGCTTGCACAGTGCTTTGGTTTCCCTTGCCTCACTTCATGGGCATTTCAGTTTCACATTTGCTGAGTCTGTAACATTTTTTGGTATGAAGTTGGGAATTAGATATACATTTGCTTTTTTTCGGTGATAGTGCATGACCACATCTCAGTGGCTTAAGCTGTAGAGGGATGACTTGGTGATTAAGAGGGCTTGCAGCTCTTGCAGAATACCCCCACACCCACACTGGGCAGCTCACAATTTGTGTAACTCCAGCCCCAGGGAATCTGATGCCCTCTTCTGGACACCATGGGCACCCCACACATGCACATACCCCTCCCCCCACATGTAGGCATAATTAAAATAGAATAAAAATAAATCTTTTTTTGTTGTTTTTGTTTTGTTTTGTTTTTTGAGACAGGGTTTCTCTGTGGCTTTGGAGGCTGTCCTGGAACTAGCTCTTGTAGACCAGGCTGGTCTCGAACTCACAGAGATCCACCTGCCTCTGCCTCCCGAGTACTGGGATTAAAGGCGTGCGCCACCAACGCCTGGCTTAGAATAAAAATAAATCTTAAAATCCATCTCAGTGGCTCAAACACAGGCCTCAGTTCTCATTTTTGTTTTTGTTTTTTGACATGTCCTCTCGATGTAGCCCTTGCTATCTTCTAACTCCATATGTAGACCAAGATGCCCTCAAACTCACAGAGATTTGCCTGCCTCTGCCCCCTCTAACACTGGGATCAACACTGTATGCCACCATACCCTGCCCAGCCATGATTTGATGTCTCTCCTTCATGTCTAGGTTGGCTTGTGTCTGTGTAAGCCATGGTTATTCTCAGGGAACAGGAACAAGAGAGACAGAGAAAGTTAGCACGTCTCTTTTTAAGCTATTACTCAAAAGTGGCATATCTTATATCCATTCATAGTCTATTGACCAAAGTAAATCACATGGCTCTGAAGCTCATAAAAATGGGATTAAGAAATATATGCACAGGGGAGGTGTGTGCATGCGTGCGTGTGTGCGTGCGTGCATGCATGCATGCATGCATTTATACATGTGAGAAAAGAGATCTGCAAACAGTGTACACTATAATGCATATAGTCACCTGAGGTAGTTAGATGGGAGAGTGTCAGAATGGAAGCTAAGGGCAGTACTTGTGCAGTGGTGGAGGATAGCCAGCTTCATGCTGACTCTGTGGCTGTCAGAGCCCCTGACAGAACTTCTGCACAGTTGACCACAGGCACTGCAAGCCATAATAGAGTAGATATTCAAGTCCTTTGTATTTTACTCTTATTTGCTTTTCCTGTCATCAAACTTTAGGAATTTGTAGAATTTGATAGTCAACAGCATGCAAGAGTACAACTCTAGTAAAAACAAACAGCAGTGCTACAACATGTAGAATAGGAATTCTTATATTGCGGGGAGACAGTCAAGCACAGTGTACGACATGCTCTGTGACATTTTAGAAAAGATGAACTGAGCCCAAGGCCCACCAGACAGTGTCTGGAGCCAGAGGTCAGGGAAGAATCAGGCAAATGCAGGTGGGCATGCCGGGTGTGTAAGGTTTCAGCAATGTTCTGTATCTGAGCATATTAGACTGTGTCTTCAGTTGCCCAACTAGGATTGGTAATACTACACTAAAACTGGATGCTGGTTCAGTGAGAAGCAGTTTCTGGTGATAAAAGTGAGAGGGAAATATCAGTAGCTCCTATAAATCTGTGAACTTTGTGTATGTGTCTTTTCTTTTTCAGGAAGAACTTGAAACGGCCACAAAGTTTCTGTATTATGAAATGGGCTATAAATCTCGCTCAGAACAACTCACAGACCGTACTGAAATCAGCCTAATGCCTTCAGACATTGATAGGTACTTCTAATAACTCTTCCTCCTCCTCCTGTGCCTCTTCTACATCCTTGTCCTCTTTCTCCTCCCTCTTTTATGAAAGTCTGTTTGCCATGATTCAATTTTGTGTTGTAGGTACACGAAGAGATTTCATATGTTTGATGAAGACGAAAAGGGCTTTATTACCATTGTTGATGTTCAGCGTGTCCTAGAGGTAATACATACTTTTTTTTCGTTATCAGCTTCAGGTATAGAAGGATATAAAGATATTTATTAGCATTTTTCACAAATCATATTTGTAAATTTTTGGACAGTCTAGTTAGTCTTTACATTAGAAGAAGGCTACATGTTATTTTTAACTAAATCCCACTCCTTTGTGCTCTTCCATCTAGAATATCAGCATGCAAATAGATGAAAACACACTACATGAAATTCTCAGTGAAGTTGATTTGAACAAAAATGGCCAAGTTGAACTCAATGAATTTCTGCAGGTGAGCTGTGATGAGATAGATGTATTTGTGTTTGCTTTTGCTTGTCACCATCCTAAGGATGGGATTCTTAAAATTCCTCATTAGTCATTTCATTCTGAAAATGTAGCTTGAGCCACCAACAGTCGATCTGTTTGCCCTTGAGGACGAGGCTCTGTTTCTGCCTGTTCATTTTCCTTCTCTTTATAAGAGGTATCTGTTTTATCGGCTAATTTAGATCCAAGTTCACCGTGGCTTACAGAACTGCACAAGAAGTGTTCTTTTTGACGCACGATGTCTTGGAATAGGATTGCCAGACCACTGCTACACTACGAGGCAGTATAGTATTTCCTGTATGGAAAGTGATTGTTATTTTTTAATGGGAGAGATTATCACCTATAGTTTTATTCATCGAAGAATCACATTCACTTAAGGATATATGTATTAAATTCTTACATTTTAAAGTACCAGAAAAGCAAATGAGAAGAAACTTATACTCTGGGGTCAAGATGGCAAATTCAGACACTTCCATTTCTGATGTTTAAGTAACCAAAGTTTCAATTGTTCAATCATTGTAACGGGGAAGGAAATACATTTTGTTACTGTCACTTCACACTAGATGCTCTACATTATCCCTTACTAGTTCTGTAAAGGAAAGAAATTCAATACTTTTATCCGTAGCTGTCCATAGGACCCTGATCATTTGAAGAATGCTTTGGTTTCCAGGCAGCCAGGTTGTTTTCTGTAGTGTTTCTTGGGCAGGTCTTTCATATGAATGCCAGGTCTTGCTTGCACCATGGCAATGATGAATGCTGAACATGAAATAAATTAATGCTGGGATTTTGGTCAATGTCAGCCCTTTCTTCACTGTGTCAAGTTAAACAAACAAGATCAAGGCAAAGGAAATGGTAATTGTCTCTCTAGAGATGAGCTGCAGATAAGAGCATTGTTGAATCTAAATGCAGAAAAATTTCACAGGTTGTGTCCAGCATTACAAAAAGAATGCTTAGTACTTTAACTAACTCTTTCACTAAATGCAGATTTTTAAATTGAATTTGAGATTTATGGTTAGGAATTAGAAACACCTAATGCCTCTTTTTGTATAGTTTTTCTGGAGAATATTTTATTGTCTCAGAATTTTAGAAAACTCTTCTTCAAAGAAATAGCTTATGCTTCCTTTTCTGTGTTTTGTAAATAAACAACGGCATTTGGACTCGAAAAACCCAGAGTTTTAGAAACAATAAGAATCTAATTTAATGGATATGCTGTGTGGCTTGGGTCTTAAAGTAACTTTCTCGAAGGTAGTAGACCTAAACACAGAAAATAATTTAAACCATCTGTAGGTTTTCTTGTAGAGTTTTTAAATCATTGAGTATTTCCTGTCCAGATCTAAATGAAAGCAACCATTCATGCCATGCCTCCAATAAGTAAACAGCATAACTTCCAAGTTATAAAACAGTGGCCACTTTTCTCATGAAATCTAGTCACATCTAGATATTATTTTTTCTTGCAGTATGGTTTTCAGATACGTGTAATACTTAATGAAAAGCTTTTAGTTTGTCAAGGTTTATACAAGAAACACTACTGGTGGCTGAGAGAGATGCCCATCTCTGACAGTTGTTACCTCTGATAAATTCCAGGGGTCTCCCAGAAAACAGAAAGTTGTTCTGTCTTTAGATGTCAGCATTCCTCAGGTAAAATATTTCTCAGATGTAAAATGTTTTGCACATTTGATTGCTTGGTAAAATATTCTCCTTTCCTGAATATCAAGAGACCACATTTATCGTGTTAAGGGTCTGCTTTTGGATATGGGTGTGCATTTTCAGGGAGGGTCACTATGGAGCCTGCCTGGCTGTAGGACTTTGGTTCTGGTCTGGGCTTCATGGCACTTATGCATGTAAGAGTTGGTCTCCCATAAGTAGTCACTTGTGAAGTAGCTTTTAATAAGGTGAGGATTCTCAGATCTAGCCCCTGGGCAGATGCCCAGGTGAGCTCCCATGTGGAGCACATTATTCAAAATGTATCTCCATAGGCTAAAATATTTTAACTATTTTCATAGCATCTTTTTAAATATTACTAACTCTAGTGAGGTTTTTTTTTTTTAAATAGGAGAAATTAGATTAAGAAAAGCAATAGTTCTAACATTGATGTGAGGGATGGGGGCGAGCCTTATACTGAGAATTGTCAGGTGCTTTCCAGATGAAAGGCCTTTGCCTACTCTCTTCATGCAGTTTTAGGGCTAATTCTGATTTTATCCATTGGATTAAAATGAATTAGCTAAAATCTAGGTGTGGGGATACTTTTATTCTTAGGAAAGATCTCTCAGTCCATTTTCAGTGATTCATAAATTTGTTTGAAAGGATTAAGGAATTTGGATTTAAAAGTTGTCAAGTATAATAACACTAAAAAAATTATAATTAAAATGAAGGAGGTCATGGTTTGTTTTTGCTCTATCCCTGAGATTCTTTTGGGGGGTTTAAAAATGGAACCCAAGACCCAATATTTGAAATTAGTTTTTTTAAAAAAGTAGCCCAAATAGCACATTACGGGCAAAGGTGTTCATTAAATTTGCTTTTAGGGTAACCTGATTACTTAGCAGTTGCTGTCTTTGTCAGCAGTGTGAAATACGTCTCCCTTCACCTCTTTTTCAACTGTTCAAAAAGTTGAGCATGTGATCTGCTTCTGAAGGAGCCCTTCATTCTGCCTCTGCCTGACACTGTTGGAATGTGTAGGTGCTAAAAAGAGGGGAGTAGGTTAAGCTGTCCTGCTTGCTAAGTGTCTTCCATATTTTCTTTTAAAGCTGATGAGTGCAATTCAGAAAGGAAGGGTGTCTGGAAGCCGCCTTGCCATCCTGATGAAAACTGCTGAAGAGAACTTGGACCGAAGAGTTCCAATTCCTGTGGATCGTAGTTGTGGAGGATTGTGAGTCTGACCAGTAAATCGACAGCCAACAAGCATAGGACAGCCAGTACCATGTACCAGCCAGAGTTGACTTAAATCACTCTAAAATAGTGTCTATAGTAGTGCGTAAAAAACAAAAAAAAAGGAAAAAGAAAAAAAAAGAAAAAACACTGGAAAACATTCCAAAACTTTTAAGATATTGGCATATTTGCCAATTTAATTTGCCAATCCTTTATTTGTATTTGCCATTCAGTCTAGCTTCTAAAAGTGTTTTTCTTATTTTTAATGCACATTGATTTAATGTTTTGTATCCATTTTGTAACCTGTCAGACTTGACACTCTGCCTTTCTAGTCATTCATTCAAATCAGTTTTAGAGACGGTCTCGGCAACATTGGAGAGAAGCTAGAAAACGTGGGTACCCAGAGCTCCAGAGCTCAACTTGTAGATAGCATTATTATTTTTCTTCTTAGAAAAGCATTTGACCTATTGACATGATCAGGTTTTGGGAGACTTCCCAGCTCTTTCTTTCTACCTCCCCTTCCAAATAATACTGCACATTTTTCTGTCTTGAGTAAGGCTGGTTAATCTGGAGAGGGAAGACAAAGTTAAGATCTGGTTGAGATTTGGTTACATTTCTAAAAGAAAATCTCTGAAAGCTTCCAGAATCACAGGAGTAAGATAAAGACAGCATTGACATTTGCCGGGAGGTACAGTGATAGTTGCTTCTCAACAGTTCATTTTTTTTTTTTTTTCCCCAGACACTGCTGGCTTTCTTTGACTATTATAGTTGCCAGAAAAATCCTTGCTTTTTTTTACTTTAAAACCAGCATTTGAGTGGCAAGTTGGATATAATGGGATGAGACCAAATCTTTCCATCCCTTATGGGAGTAATGATAAAACAGTTTTCAATCCCACAAGTCCTGAATCTTGCAGCGTGTGGTGGTGTCAGGCCCATTCTTGTTGGGGTGGGTAGTAATGGTGGTATTTGCAAAGAAATAATAAAACAGAATTGGGCAGGCTTTTGTTAACTTTAATTATAAAATTAAAATAAGGCATGCCACTTTAATATCCAAGGATAGTCTGCTTGCCAAAAGCCTTTCTCTTTGTTTACTCAATGGGAAAATTTCATTCCATCAAAAATAAAAAAATAAAAAAATAAATCAAAGAAAGATACCCCCCCCACACACACCCAAACTGAATGTGCGTTGAACTCAACATATAATGCACCGACTAAAGAAGCCAGTTGGAAGATGTTTCTGTTATATTCTGTTGCACTTATGATATTTATTAATTGTGCTCCCTTTTCTGAAGCTGTCAGTGATGGGTACTCTGTGCATCATCAGAAAGATAGCCCTTCTTCCTTCTCTCCAGGCAGGCTTTGTGGCAGACTGTGTGTGTCCTAGCTTTGTGAACTGGTACCTAAAGCACCTTTGTGCTACTGTTTCTGCTTATGCCAACACCATGTCTTTTTGCCTCATTCAGGATGGGTTATGAGTCTGTATATTGTAATATAAACTGGGAAGTTCACTTACCTAAGTTCCCCACCCCCAAATATGCAGAGACTGCAGGGAGAGACAGCTCAACTCCTTTTATTAGTAAATGAAGTTTAGATACTTTCACTTCTGTAGGGTCACCTGACACATGGAAGTGATGTCACAATGGGTGTCACTGAACATTTCTTTCGAAGTGTGAATATTTTTTACACTGTTCTTTATTATTAATAATAATAATCATAATAAATGGAAGCACATGGCTTTGTAGTTGAATGTTTTTCTATCATGACAATAAAGTTCATTTTCTACCTAGTGACAGTTAAGTCGGCAGAAGCACTGTCCTTTAAGACATCCCAAATTATATATCACAATATTCTACATCTGTACTCCCTCCTCTTTCTTTTTCTCTTTTTCTTTCTAGTTAGATCAAGATAACGATGGCTTGTATCCCCCCGGTTCTCCTAGGGTAGGGACTGGGCTTAGAGTGTGACTCGGGCTCAGGCCGATCTGTGTTTGGAAAGCAGGTCTTGTTTGTTCATGCTTTGCTATGAATGAAGTTCCTTTAAGGACAAAGAGAAGCGCACTTTTCTTCATTTGAGCATATCTGCTGTGGCTTAAAAATCTGCTCGCTCTAAGACACGCTCCTTCACCAATCCCACAGACTCCTTTTGGAAGGGAACTGCTTTCATGACATTCCTTGCACCCCGGCATTTTCCTGTGAGGTCCTCACTAAACCTGGACAGCCTGTTTTTTTTTTTTTTTTTTTAATCCAATTTTAAGCAAAGGAAAAAAGAAATAGGGGAGCAAGCCCCTTTAAAAGTCACTCAGAGAATAAAATATATTTTCCTTTTCATATAACCCTGGTGTTTGTTGACTCTGTTCAGGTATGGGAGTGAGTGTGCGGGGATTGCCTTTTTATTATCAAGTGATTTATTTCAAGAGCCTCTGAGGGGATTCAGGTGAAGGAATCGCATCTGTGCTGGAGGGCTGTATACTCCTTTAAATAGCCTCTGCCTCAGTCGTAATAACAGTGATAACGCTGGATTACTTGTTTAGCTAAGGTTGTCCACCTCATATCCATCATGATGCATATTCTTGCGTCCAATCTGTTTATATTGAGTGGAACTTCAGATTTCTGCTACCAAGTGCATGTTTTGTATTCTGCCTTAGTTTATGGCTTGATTTTTGTCCATTTCAAACTATGTACAACAAAAATGTTCATTCTGATTTTAACCCAATATAGCACAGGGATTGTCACTGATTGTTTTTCTTCCCCTCTTTTTTATGCATTTGTAAAAAGGTCTTTTGCATATGAATGTAATCACATATTGATGTCACTGATGCTGTAAACTTTCACTGCTTTTTACTCTAGGGAGGAAAAAAACCCTACTATGTTTGAAAAGAATATCAAGTCTTAGTCCAGTACTGGGTGGACATAGTCACTCACTGCATGCTTTCATGCGGCCATACTTCTATGTATTGTGCTTGGGTTATCGTTCTAGACTGCACTGTTAAATGCTCTGAGGCTGGGTTGTCATTTTTATAACTGTCTCGGTATTTTATCACCATTATTTATTACTTTTGATATACAGAATGAGCTGCATGCATTTATAGAGTAATAAGAAGATGTATTTAATGTGCCTTGTTTTTAACTGAGTAAGAGCCAAAAGCATGAATCAATAAAGCTGATTGAAATGGTTCGTTTGCTGGCATTTCTGTGTTGCTTGTGGTCAGACAAATAACTAATTATTGTTGAAGTTTTTAAAAGTTTGAAAATATTTTCAGAAGCTGTATTTTAAATGACACACATTAATTCTTTTAAACTATCATTTTATAATTTTGACTTGGGTGAAGTGTTTGTATAGACAGATATTGTTTTATGAGACTACCAAAATTAGTTATTAATTTGTTGCTTTAATTTTATGTGATCCTAGTCAACATTTATCCCATTACAACTCAGTAGAATTCCTATCCCCCCCCTCTCTCTCGTAGACCAGAACCTCTCAGCCTCCACGTTTCCAGGCATGCTGATGAATTTTATCATAACTAAAATCAATAGAAATGAATGGGAAAGATTACATAATCCATTTTGATCATCTTACATGTCAAGTTAGTGCAGGGTTGCCAAGCGTTGATAAATGCTCTGACAGAAAAAAATGCTATATATTTTCATTGTCAGTAAGTCAGTAGAGCTGTTATCAGTTTAACACTGGCCCAATTTTATAATGCCCATGTTATTTTATAGGTTTTAATTTGCACATGTGCTTTCTCGATTTGTGGCTTAGAAGTGCTACCACTAGGTTGAGGGTGCTCGGAGACTTCGTGAGTTTCTTATAGTCCTTCAATATACTGTATTCTAAGTGAAGGCTCCCTCCCAGACAGATTTTTGACAATAAGCCATTTATTTAGCATCTGGAAAAAAATACACAGCAGTTCAAAATGTTTTCCATTGATCCAGCTCATGCAATTTGATAGCACTTAAATAAAATTTGTCAAAATATTGCTCCTAGTTTTCAGAAATATGTAAAATTGATCATCACTTAAGAAAAGGAAGCATGATACTGGCCTCAATATTTTGTGGGTTTTGTCAACAGCACATCGTCACTGTGTCAGATCCCATATGATGACATTTGACTTAGGTTGAAAAGAAGCAACAAGAGTTTTAAATCGATCTGGCACCCTCGTAATGAGACAAGTTCTGTAAGGGAGGCAGAAATGATGAGCCTTTTATGCCTGTACTTTGTATTTTAGGTCTCTAATTAACTACCTACCTTGTGAAATACAGGCATAGAACATGATGTGTGTAAGCCGTGATGATGCCAGGGACAGCCCCGTAGGACAGCCCTGTGCTGAGAGGTGCAGTGCGAAGTCAGTTGCTGTCCATCCATCTCTAAATACCTGCTCAGGAACTGATGTGATCTAAGAAAAATACAGCATAGCAGAGTCATTAGGATCACCCGTGTTCTCTATGTGTGGTGTTGAATCATTGGCTTAGCATACGTTACCACCAGAAGTGTTCACATTATAGTTAACTGGAACCCAGGGGAGGTTGTGTGATACCTTCTTTGGGAAGGTACTGTATTGTAATTCAGTAGAATTGGGGCACTTTTGAAATGCATAGAATGTGCCTTGGATGTTAGAGTGTGGCCCATGGTTGAGCTGGTTTGTTCTACAACCTTCTGAACCTTGCAGAGCCACTGTCATGTGTCTTAATCAAGCCATGCCTGCATTCATCTTCCAGGTAAATGGTTACTTTAGAGCAATAGGCATTTTGCTTCTTCACCAACTGCTGCTAGCTTTCTTCCATTGTATCAAAGAGTGGGGAAGTGGGAAATCACGTACACACACACACACACACACACACACACACACACACACACACCTATACACACACCTGCCTTTAGCCCTCATACTCATCATTCTTTGTTAGCTTTGAGCATATCCTATATAACTGCATCTAATTTTTATTAGCCTTTTCTTTAACTCCAATTTAGACTTACTTGATTTTGTTTGTCTAATCTAAATTTAATAAACTTAATTAACATAACAGTATTCTTTCACCTGACCTCAGTGCCCTCTTTTAATCAAGGTCTTCAGCCCTTAACAACCCCTTCCACCCAGGGTTAGCATAAACAGCCACACCCCTTAATATGTTGCTTGTTAGGTTTTCTCACCATTGCTTCACTATCTTTTTTTTTCCTGTCCCCATCATTAATTGATTTACAATTCATTTTTATGCATACGGAGTTTTTGCTATCCAAGTTAAGAAGCTGTAAATCTTAGATCCATTGAAATGACAGTGAGAAATATTTCACTTTATCCCATGAATCATTTGCCATCCTTATTGAAGAAAAATGGCAAAATTATGGTGTACCATGTTTTCATAAATTACCCTTCCCCTCCCCCACCCCACGGCTCTGGTTCATTTCATTATCTGTTTTCGAGACTCAGAGTCAGACTGTAGACACGTGGGGTAAACATCTCTGGTCTTGCAGCAGGCTAATCAAAATTTCATAACATTACAAATTAATTCCTCTGCTACTGAGAAGAACTTAATTCATGTACAAAATATATCATCTATTTTATAAGTCAAAAATAGCCTGATATTAAAGTATATTCGATTGCTCATATCAAAAAGGGGGACGGATGTTGAGTTCTTTAAATAATGTATATAATTTTCATTGGTTTCATATGTCAAAGTAGTCATTTATGTCCTGAAAGGTGGGTGCTTGGCACTATGTGTTTGAACACTATTAAAAAATCATAGCTTTAAAAAAAAAAATCATAGCTTCTTCCAAAAAGGCCAAATCTTGGGTTTGTATTTCTCATATGACCTAGAGTGAAATAACTTCGTCAGGGATCCTCTCCTTGTCCCCAGCAAGAAGTATCCTTAAGAGTAAAAGAACTGAAATTTCTAAAGATAAATAATTTTGAAAAGCAATACATGAAATCAACTACCAGATCATAGTGTTGCTGAGTGGATGGATTTGGCTCTGACTTTTAACTGCCATGTCCTGGTCAGGATTCTAAGGAGCCATGGTCAGTTCTTTGCAGATTCTGAAAAGTCAGGTTTATTATCCTGGTAAATATGTGTGCCCTGGTGAGTTGTTGCCCTCTGTCAAGATGGGCTATCCTTTAAATGCAGTTCCTCCAGCTTGATCCTCATTGCAAGCAGCACTGAACCATTAAATAAAAACCAAGACAAAACGCCTTTGAAAAGGGTTAATTAGCTTTAATACTGATTTATTCCATATAGCACGCTAATAGACCAGAACATTTACTTCTGTTTTGGATCATTAAAAACTGGCTCTAGTTCTTGAACAATTTGTTTCTAATAATTAAAAATTAGACCAATTAGAGTAGTCTTCATATAACCTACTCGCCGTGATATACTTTTTATGAAAACAAAAACCTGACTCACTATTTTGCAATTCTTTGCCATCTCAGCCACAAAAGCAGTGCACAAAATACTTCGAAGGCCATTGAGCTCAAGTTTGGAGCATTCTCCTATAGTCCTAAAGGACCAGTGAGGAGAGGTGAGGTGTGTGTGTGTGTGTGTTGGGGGGAGGCAGCTTTTAATGTATGCCTGAGATCAAGAAAGCTAAATTGCTGTGTGCTGTTGCTGGAGTCCCATTTCCCTAATAGTCTGTGCATCCCCATCTCAGTGACTTAGTTTTCACCATCCATTGCTCTAGGTGTGGAAATGTGACTGCACTGGAAAAGTTTCCAGTGACCTCTGAGGTCTGTCTGCAGGGGAGATCTCCCTTGCTGGGTCGAGTTTTTGTTCTTATGCTGCCCTCTAATGGATACCAAATTATTTCATTAGACCCAGAACAAAAGTAAATTTTCAGCTTCTGAGGGCTCCCGTGCCAGCCCATCAGTCTTGGAAATGGTGATGTGACCTGCTTGCCCTTTGCATGTGTTCAGGTGTAGGAGACATTTGTGTTAATTGTGTCCTGCTGCCCTGGCCAAAGTTGCACTCCTGTTCTGGACAGTGAAGAGACAGCAAATGCTAATTTGTGCTCTGTGGAACTTTCCTTTTTTTTTTTTTTTTCCTTGCCAGCAATTGTAAAGAATTGATGTTCTAGGGTACTTAAAAATGAGGAATAAAAACAGTGTAAGTGCTGTATTAAGATGATATGCTGTATGTTTTATCAGTCACTGGCACCTAGTTCAAAAGACAAAAAAATTAGCAGCAGTGGATTGGGAATAGGCCTGCGCAAGAGGTGGCTATCCAGTCCATACGTGAAGAGTATCAGTGCTTTTCACATGCTGCTTTCTGACACCCATTGCTAGGGCTGAAAACTATCTCTATTGTCCAGTTTGATTGCTTGAATCAAACTGATTTACAGCAAATCCATCTGAGCTTTGATAAATCTATTACAGTTTCATTTCACTGATTTCATTAACGTGAATAAAACCAGCCACGCTTTCTGCATAACTGCCTTTTAATGGCTTGGCCCTGTCACCTGCCTGAATATTAATCCCCCTGACTTATTGCTCCACAGAGGGAATGAGTAATGGGTATTTGAATGTGATCAGCACAGTACAATGCAATTAAGGAAGCAGTACTGTTCTGTGCCTTTAATCCTGAACTAATTTGAATTGCAGTTTGATAGCACAGTGAATCCTGCATAATTATGTAGGGTGCATATTAAACTCTGTGACAAACCGGAGAAGCTTTTAACCATCACAGCTATGGTAGACAAGTGAAGGCTAGAGTCAGAGAGCCCACTATTGGACCAAGAGCTCAATTAATAGGAAACCCTCAGCAGGGGTGGCTTGGCCATGCAACGTATCTTGGAACAAAAATGTGAAATGTTGACTTGCTCCCAGTCAATTTTAATTTACATGCATTGGAGTTTTCAGAGTTCCTTTTGAGTTTGCAAGATAGGAAGGGTAGAGAATTGTCCCTTAGCAAAACTTTATATTGTCTCAATTCCTTTAGCAGTTAAAACCAGCAGCTGTCACAGTTCACAGCTAGGGAAAAGCCACATGTGTACACCCACAAACACACACATGCACACACAATTATAGCTGTCTAGAATGTCCCCCACTTAATATATCCTCATTTCCCAGAAATTTGGATGTCATTTCATGGAGGCAGGCTTCCTGATGCCATGTGGATGCTTTTATTATTCTATGTTAGCCCTAAGGAAAATAAAACAAACATTCTCTTTACTTTGGATCTTTTGTTACT